ATATACAGCAGTCTCTCATCCTAAACTCCATACTCAAAATGGATTATACAACTTCGGATTTATGGAACAAAAAGAACACCGATTAGGGGTTTGAAGTAGACTTACTTTGCGTTTCAATCGACGTATATCTCCGGCAAGTTGTTTACACAATTCCAATAATTTCTTCCCAGTTGAACTTGGCTGACATAATTGTGGAAAGATTTTGGCCCCGGACTGTGCCATCAACAAGGATAGAATAGGTGAGAACGTGGGAGTTTGAACCGGTTTTGTTGATGTGCTCCCATATTCCACATCCTCATCCTGGTCATGCATCATCGGCATGGGGCTGGATCGATACAAATTTTCCCACGCTGTGTACAAGTCGAGAGGCTCAGCAAATTTGGCAATCAACGCGTCCACAACGGTTTCCGCTTCTTGTAACTGTGTTTCCGCTCGGACGCAACGTGCTGCGTCCAACAGGTCGTCCAGCCCGTCGTGGAACAGATCGACTCGCGGAGAAGTTGGCAATAAGGAGTCCGCGACGGAGTGATTGTCTGGACTCATCGCTTGGTCGGATTCTGTGCCGATGGATACCTCGTGTCGTGCGGAGACCACATCTACACGGAACACAGGGGATCGAGTGAGACAAGGCACTCGGTCTTTTCCGACAACGCCTAGTTGTGTTTTAGGGGATGAAGCGAGTGGAGTGTGGAAATTTGAGATTGATGGTGAACTAACTGCGATCTCGTGTTCGACATTTGAGATTTTTGTTTCCGCGGGTGAGTAATCTTTGGCGTCCGTGGAAAGTTGTTCTATGGTCATGAGAAAATCCAATAACACATCTATTATTACCGATTAAATGTGAACATTGAGTTAAACAAGTGAAGTTAGATTTCTTATAGAAAGGTGAACAAATTGGACTTTGTGGTGCACATTGCCGCGCATAGTTTATGAAGAAAACTCAAGCCCCAAATTCACTCAATCAACCAGCCAATGGAGTACGTTCTGCCCACGATTGCAACCGATAAATATAGTACCCTAAATAATTTTAATCGTCAAATAAATCTTCTGTAATCGAAACAAGCGATCGACTGACACAATTTCTCTTTTCTACGCTACCAAAATAGTTAGGAAAAACGCTCGGTCTTCCACGGCACCGTAGAATTCGTGTATGGTGTTTACGGCGTGAGCAGCTTCCGGCGGTCGAAACAAAATTTTGAAATTTTTTTCTCTCATTTTGTAATGAATGGAGAATTTTAATATTAATTGTGACGTGAAAAGTTATGGACCAGCTTATTGGCTATTGAGTGTAACCATAGTGTATCCGGAACATAAAGATAATCTTCCGATTCCAGTCGCTTAATGACAATGCTTATGGTACCGGTTCCTTTCGCGTGTCACGATTGCATAGCTGGAGTTCTGCGCGGTTCTCTCGTTCGTGGACACAGCCAACAAGGGATAACTGTAAGCGTTCCATTGTCATCATCATCATCATTGTACAGCAAAATACAGAGAAGCGAACTTCTCTGATCGTTGCCAAACTCGTTTAGTTCTGACAAGAACATAGCCACAAGACAGCGGGTGAAGCGATGTGGAGGCCCATTTACTTGTATCAATCACTCCTACACCATTTTTCATCGACTGAAACGCAAATTCTAGTCGAATCCTCAACCTGGAGGACCAGGAGACTGATCTTTGTCCGACCTATACCCTTCGACCTTTCAGGCATGATTAGATCTTTCGTTCGACAAAAACCATCCTGTGTGGGTCTTTGAGTCAGAGAGGTGCACAAGCCATCACACCACGCCAAGGTGCAGTCTCGTCGTGATGGTCAGTCTCGTCGTGATGGTCAGTCTCGTCGTTCCGTGTTTCCAAGTAGGCGGCCAAACGTGGAAGAAATCCCTTTGCCCTAACGTGCAAATTATCCACTGCCCTGATTCATTTTGTAAACCTTGGAACAACTGGGCTTACGAGGATATCCACCCATTTAAGGATCACGCTTAAAGTTCCAGGAAAATCGCAGAGTAAGACAGTTCGGGAGCAGGTAGACTGCTAGTGTTTCGTTAATACATAAGCGCACTTTATTCATTAAACTTCAGTATCCGCGCCCCACCCCCGGGATATGTCCACTGATTTGTCTGCGAGAGACTTCCAGACGTTAATATGAGACTGAACTGCCCGGATTCGTGTCCCCCGTATTCCCAGTGGCTCCCTGATCCGCGCCACTGAAGAGCGTCCTTAAAAAAAACGAGATTCTCACAGAGACTTGCACTGTGACTAATCGGTTTACCACCGGCATCGCTCAACAGATGCGATCCGAATAGAACTTTGTTCGCTCGTGTGTAAACCGTCCAGTTTTTTGAAAATATTGATGAAAACACAAATCACTTTACCCCGGAATGCTTTCTTTATTGACTGATGCGCGCGAGCACACAGACACACCAATCTTTATATATAAATATATATATATATATATATATATATATGTGTGCAGCTCAGGCCGTGTAAGTTGATTTCAACTTCCATTGATCAATATCAGCTCGCGTTGTACCCATTGATTTCGTCAAATAGCTCAGGAGATAACGGATACAGATACTCTTCATTCTCCACACACACTGTGAATAATTTGCTTTACATCCGTGAATCATTTATTGCGATACGGTACACCATCTCACAATTACGAGTGACGGTAAATTAATCCCATATAGTACAAGGATTGATTGAACTCGTACAACTCGTACTCTCGATTCAGTTTCCACTATCCTACCCGTATATCGGCAGGTATGAGTGAAGAGTATTTATTCCTAACTTTACCTCAACCCCGTCCCCGTCCCGCCCCGCCTCGCCCCGCGGTAATGTTCCCAGTTCTCTTGTATCAGTGCTTGAATTGACACTACATTGAGTGTCGATAAACCGCACATTTTAATGTTATTCGAGTAACCGAAGCAGTAACAACAACAAAAGTGAATATCATTACAGATCGATATGTTGCGTCCGATGTGGGGCAATAGTGTATTCAATCCCCCGTGAAACACTCGGCGTTTAGAGGAACAACTCTGATGATCAATACCTGTATATTATGTGCTGAGCAAATCAATTGTGTGAACTGTAACGTTAGGAAGCATTCACTGTACAAATGCTTCGACTTGACTATGTCTCACCAGCAGTCTACGAATCTATCAAACCAGCGGAGAATGGCCAACTCGAGATCTCACACGTAATAAAGGTTGGGCAAAATGATCTCCCTCATAACTTTTTGTTCCTTATGAGCCCAGACAATTTGGACACGCGATGATGATTTAATAGTTACGTTCATAAGACGGATCAAGGTATCATTTTTCCGGGCGTTGTTCTGGTTCGGTTCGGTTCAGATATGGTGGCTTCGAACTAGGCACAGTGATTGAGAACAGGCTCGGACGAGGTAATGCATGAAGACGAGGATGAAGAAGGGGTTTCCATAGGACCGAAAAATGCGCACGGATCACCGGAACGAACTGATCAGTGCATTGCATTCGAATACTAACTTTATAAAACCTTTCAACACCGTGCCAAGAAATGCCCTACACTGCTGCGTACAGCGAATCACTCACTTATCGACTAATTACTAGGACAGTGAATTTTGAATATCAGAGACCAATCAATGGTTCCTTGAATCCATTCAAAAAGAAATTTCACTAGCGCATTTGCAGACTTCAATGTGGATTCCGTTGGATACAGGGAAACGGAAGCGCAGGGCAGCTGGGAAATGGTTTACAACTGGTTCACTCTTCTTGGTAGTACGACCACATTGTGAACATAGTAAAATCGGTAGCAGTTTGAGTAACTAGCCAGTCGTTCAATTCGAAATATTTCTGTTTGTGTTCTCTCTCCGGCTTGCGATCTCGAGCTATGAGGCCACACCGAGGCCACACTGCCAAACAACAATTTGAACAATTAACCTTGTCTTCGAAGCTCATTCGGTGGACTCCGGTGAATTCTGAGGAAAACCTGTCGGGGCATTCAGCTTACATGCTAATTGGTGGATGCTATATGCCTCTGTCAGTTGGATGGGTAATTCAAATGTGAAAAGATCAATGCTTGGTCGGTGTGGCCTCGTAGTTCAGCTGATAAAGTGTGTGCTATACAAAAACGTAAGCGGCCACTAAACTTTTCACAATCTCAACATACAAACGTCTATCTACCAAACAACCACTAGCACATATGTGTTTGTGTTCTCCCCTCCGAAGCCTTACTTTGGGATCTCGAGTTGGCTGGATCGATCCACTCTGCTGATGAGGCTGAATAAGGTCAAAATCACGGTCCCGATTACCTTTTCCTAGGTACTCCGTGTACAATGAAACTGATCGCATAATTGGATTAGATACCTAACTGCTTTGTTCAATCGGAAGAAAATAAAAACAGGCAGTCATTGTGCGTAGTTTTTTTCTCATTTATACTTCGGCATTTTTCCGCTTAATACATTCTTACCTTGTACAATTGGTCATTTATTATTTCTCAAATCGTAGACATTTAGAACTCTGTCCATATGAAGAAACGATGCAATATGTATTATCCTTTGAGAGACTATACCATAGACTTGGCGACAAAATTGACTTCTTTTTCAACTGTTGTTCTTTTTTAAATATTTGAATTAGAGACAACAGGAATGCCAGAGTGACGAAGGAAGCGAAACACTTCCGCAAAAATAGTGCACATTTTCATGGATGAAAACGTTACAGTCTCCGTGTCTTCACATCAACTCGGGCGGAAAAACTTTCGCGTCAGTTCTATTAGCGTGAGTGCGAAAAAATGGACTAGAACAACGACGTTGCTCATTGCTAGGAAACCGAAACAGGATATGCGGATAGAGAGAAAAAAGCTTACGGGACAGAGAATGACATGAACGGGATGTTCTCAGTCAAAAACAGTGAAGCTCTGAAGCAGGAGCCAGACAGAAACACGGAACAAATAGATGTTCAGAACACAAGGCTAGGTGGCTCAATACATATGTCCTCCTTATTGTAAAACGTGAAATACTGTTTCTGCCCTCGCTCGTGAAGGCGTTAAATTTGATGTCCGTATCTTTAGTCCCACAAGTATATATTGGGTTTTGAATTGGACTTAGCAAAATCCACAATTTGCATGAAGAATGCAAAATGTTTTTAAAGTACCAACTGAAAGAAATGAACAAAATGATAGCCGGGAATTAAATGAAGTGTTATTTATTGCTCAGAACTAAACTGAAATATAGCTCAGGTGTATATAGTTTGGTATATATTTTTTTTGTTTCGAAATTCTGTCGTTCCGTATGGATATCAGACCTCAGTTGGTGGATGAGACTGAGGACTGTTCCATTTGCATAGACCCGTCTCACGAGTGAATCCCAAAACCCTATCAATGTATAATTCAAAGCCAGACTAAAAGTCCTATTGACTCACAGCATTCGCTGCATTAGATTGACGCGAGCTGCATGTGCGGTGGCGTTCGCATGTTCGAACGGTATGAACCCCCAGCAATTTTCGGGGAAAGTGCGAGAAGGAAATGGTTCAAAGTTTTGTTGTTCTTGTTTTTGTCGTTGTTCGAGGAGTCAACTACCTGTGCGCCTGTTTAGAACCACAAGTCGTGATTTGCCGTTTGCACGAACAGCACTACAACTCAGCACAGAACCGGTTTGGCAGGTGACGTCAAGCTTTCTGTTCCACGCGTCAATCCTTGAATTAAATTTGTGCGTGCGGTGTACGGTCCAACGGAAGCTTTTATCCATTCTCATTGATCACCACCCAGCCATCCGCAATCTGCCATTTCAACCATTCAATTCCATCAGCAAATGAGATAGATGCTCA